ACACTTTAGACCGTTAGGCTGCGTTTATACTTTGCGGCAGCGTAGCGTAGCGCTTCCAGCGTACGCCAGCGGCAGTGTCGGGGAAAGGATAGGTATCGATCTAGCCCAGCGCCACCAGCGTACGCTAGCGTAACGCTAGCGTACGCCAGCGTAGCGAGGGCACGGGATGTATAGGTATCGATCTAGCGCTACCAGCGTTTCACGAGCGTTTCACTAGCGTTTCGCTAGCGCTTGCAGCGGCAGGGCTAGAGAGTGTAGAAGAGTAGGAGAGTACAAAATACTCTCCTACTCTATACTCTCTAGCGTAGGAGAGCATTTTGTACTCTCCTACTCTTCTATACTCTCTAGCCCCGCCGCTGCAAACGCTAGCGAAACGCTAGTGAAACGCTGGAAGCGCTACGCTACGCTGCCGCAAAGTATAAACGCAGCCTTAGAGCCAGTTTAGCGCCTGTGCTCCTAGCCACGAACGAGAATATTTGCACAATGGTGATTTTCGTGTGATGTGCCTCGAGTTCAATGCACCACTTTGGAGGATTTCAGCAAATTTGGGGGCTGTGGCGTAGGCTGCGCAGCTCCCCAAATTTGGAGTCAAAAATAAGCCGTTCACTCAGTTCCGTGGATAGTGATCCTTGCCGTATGAGGGGAGAATGAGTTAGCAGCCTTGAAGTGTGCCAAATTCTCCGATTACCGGTGCATGGGAACGGGGCTGGAGGGTAGTGATAGGTGCCGCACGGCCAGCTACACTGCTAGCCGTAGCCAAGCGCGCTACTCCTCTGTCTCCTCTCGCTTCTGGTAGTTCTGTATCACTGGAGCTCGATCAGCGGAGCTGAGCGTACGTTTTTTCGCAAATGATGTTAGTATTTTGGGACAAAAAGTAGTGTTATCTAATGAGAATCTAATAGAGGAAGTAGCTATCATTGACATGAAGCTTATTTCGTGACTTAAATAAAAGAGCTTGAGTTCCTTGTTCGCAGTGAATCAGGTTTTGACAAGCACTGTTCACAAACGCTCCTAAAACCATCGGCATTCTTTGACCTACGAACCAGTCTGCTGCAGATGCCAGGGTCGGGAAGGCTGGATCTGGCGCAGCTCCAGCTCGTTTCCCACCAATTTTCCTGCTTCCACAGTTGGTGAAACGGGCTAGCGCTGCACCAGATCTACCTTCAGCTTCACCTCGAGCATCGACAGCGAACAGGACGGTATAATCGTCTAGTTTGGTGCTGTCGGTGTGTGTGTGTGTGTGTGTGTGTGTGTGTGTGTGTGTGTGTGTGTGTGTGTGTGTGTGTGTGTGTGTGTGTGTGTGTGTGTGTGTGTGTGTGTGTGTGTGTGTGTGTGTGTGTGTGTGTGTGTGTAATTGAATAAGAACGCATGAAGGCAAGGAAGCAAGAAGTTTCCTGTCAGCATTGCCATCTTTCAACAAGGGGGAGGAATTCTGAATAACACGCTTCGAAATTCTTTCGCTAAAAGCTTCTAGCAAAGCTTCGCTGCAAGTGAAAGTAGGCACAGATTGTTAACCGCTGTGCTGAATAACGAAATCGCTTCAGAGCTAGAGCGAGCCACTATTAGCTTTGCATTTGGGGCACCGTTATTATCGGTGGGCGTTTCCTATAAAAGCGTCCGTTCTTTGATAAGTGACGTCTTTTTGTCAAAAGCATGACATCTTGAAGGAATTGCATCTTGCTTGTCCTATGAACCTCCTGACGAATCCTCCGCATACTCTTTCAATGATTTTCAGATTTTTTTTGCAGCCCTAGCCTGCTCTACCATCATTCTGAATTTACCTCATTCGGTGGCAAGGAGCATGAAGGGTTCATTTCGCAGCAGCAAAATGTTCTCGTGATCGTTAGTCCTCAATATCAATAGAATCCCTCAGAACCTACGCACATACCTGCATGATTCAGAAGAGCAGTATTGAGGAAATTCGAACATGTCAAAATGCAGTTACTGAGTAATTGTGATTTCAGTAGGCTTAAAGGCAAAGCCCGCGATCACGGATAGCAAATTGTGGAGCTAAGATAAGAGCAACAAAGTTCTAAGTTACTGGCAGTGAAGAAGAAAAAAAAAGCAGAAAAAACCTTCCGGAATACCCTGTATAACTATACCCCGGCCGATCAAGTTGTACGTGCACACACTGAAGAGAAGGCGTGTTTGTATACTCGAAATCCCTGAGATCGGGTAGGCGTGGCCGCATGCTTCAACTTAACCTGAAGGTGTCTATGCTTCTGGTGAGATATTTTCATCTTGACACAATTGTTGTCGTGTCTGTCCAGCACAGAACAAGATGACAGTTGTCCCAGACTGGAATATTCCACGAGTAACCAGTTCCGTGCCATGTTCAAATGCCACGCCTAATATGGCTCAGGATAAGGAGTGTACGTACACTTTACATCACCGCAATTGTCGGGTCGCAATCAGCGGCTCGCACCTGCGGCGTTTCCATCATTGGTTGCTCCCTCCCTAAATCGATCTTTACCCGATCGCCATTGGTAGAGCAACGAGGCCGAACGCCCATTTGGACCGCGTTGCCGCCCCCCGACAGTCCGCAATGATTAAGACTCACACTTGCGGTCATCATAAGGATATCAGCTCTTCACTTCATTCGAGTCAGAAGAGGGGCCACTAGCTAGTAGATGTAGCCTCTGGATGATTGACATGGGCCTAAGTTGTGCTCATAATAGAGGATAAGGATAAAGTCTTCGCCGTTGATCAATCCCTTTGTGGGATGCGGCACGCATTCTACTTCCATTCAGAATCGTAGTGGCTTATTGAATGCGATGTGGCCTATACAATGACTTGCGGGGGCCAGCCGATGTACAAGTCAGTGTTTTATCCTCCCAGACGAATCTGGTACCAATTTACCGTCTCTGGAGGATTGAACGCTCGGTTGCCTTGGGCGGGAGTCTCCTCCGGGAGTTGAACCCAGGAACGCGCGAATGTTGAGCGTGCCACCTGACACCATACCTCTCCTGCCCAAGGGTGCTCATGGAGCTGAATAATCAGCTTCCACAGGGTTCTTGCCTATTTTCACTTTTCAGTGTAATGCTGCCTCTGCAGCCGCCTACCGAATCACATATGAGAGCCAATAGCCTAGATTTATCGCGCAATGTGCCTTTAGGCACAGTATCAAGAGCATTCCCACGATTAGGAATTGTTGATGTTTAATTACGAGTTCTGCGGATTTGCTACAAACGACACCGTGCGTCCTCTGTGCAACTGCTTGCTCCATACAATAACATATCACCTGTGCTATCACCTGTGCTCCCGTTGATCATCGAGTTCCTCGAGCGGGCGCCAGTAACGTCTCCATTCGTCCCTGCAACGTGCAAGAGTTGCCCAATGCTCTCTCTGCTCGAGGGACACGATGAACTTCATACCATTCGTTCAGAGCTTTCACGAAGAAGTCTGACCATCGCGTAGGCGGTCGTCCAGGCGTTCGCTTGACATCCCGTGGAATCCAGCAGATAATGGCTCTGGTCGTCTTCTTCAAACCGCATATCGTGTCCGGCCCACCTGATCTTCGGAACATTGGCAAATGCGGCTGCGTCGCTGATCCTTGATCGTCGATGAAAAACCGCGGAACTTCGGATTCTCTCTCTCACGGGTGTAGCGGGAAACTCCGAGCATCGTCCTTCCCATGGCGCGTTGAATAACACCGACCCCATGCTCATCCTGCTTTCGCATAGTCCATAATGCGTAAGTCAAAGCAGGAAGTACAGCGGAATCGAAGGTGCGCACGGAGCTTGGTGTTCTTCGTCTTCTTCGCTACTCCCTCGATGTTCTTGAAGGCTCCCCAAGCCGCTCGCTTCCTCCTGCTCAGCTCTGGTGCTAAGTCGTTCATCATATTGATTTCACGACCTAGGTACATAGCTAGAGCATTCAGAGATGGTCGTTCCGTTGAGCGTGAGTGCCGTTTCTCATGAATCGTCTTCTTAGATTCAGCTGTAGACAGATTTTCCACAAGCGCAGTCAAAAAACAGCCAGCAGATCCGCTTGCTCGATGTTTGGTGTTATCAGAACGATGTTGTGCGAAGATGATGCAATTACCGTCTCTGTCAGCCTTCACTCCCATGTCTTCCCATTACAGCTGACGCATGACGTTCTCGAGAGAGGCGCTGAAGAGCTTGGGCGAGCTGGTGTTGCCCTACTCTTCTACGTCGATGATGATTTCCTTGTAGAATGATGAGATCCTGGTCGCGAAGTGTAGAGCTCACGAAGATTCCGATGTACTGAGTAGGAATACCCTTGTTGCACACCACTTTGATAACCGGTCTCTTGTCTGAATCGATGAACGTGGGGCATAGTGGCATCTTGTACTCTCGCGATACTTCGATGAGCTTCGTTACCGTGTGGATGTGATCGATCGTGCTGAATCCTCTTCGAAACCCTGCTTGCTCGCATGGCTGTCCTTCGTCTAGTGTTCTGCCAATCCTGTTCAGGATGACTCGTGTGAAAAGTTTGTAGACTACAGACAGCAGGCAGATTGGGCGGCATAATTGCCAATGTCGTACAGATCTCGCTTCTTACACAGCAGCTGAGTCCTGCTGGCTTTCCACGAGGTTCGTTCCTTGCATTCCAACAGGTAATGCGTGAGGAAGTCGAGTCCAGAGATCTGACAAGAATTAGGCGGAAGATTTTTCAGATGTTCGGGTCTGATCCTGTGTGAACCTGGTGCCGTACAATTCTTTGTCGACGAGATGGCGTTCGATCTTTGAAAAGGAGAATTGCAAGAACGATGAATCAATCCTGCTCCAAGCGGTGTGGTGGCAGCTAGGCATGGCTGTCAAAGAGAACAGAGTAGTGGATGACCTTTTCCAGCCCTTCAGGATGCGGTGATTGTTCCGATAAAATGTTGACATTTGGTCATTTTGGTCTTGCTGTTGGCAAAGTCGCGGCGGTGTTGCGTATGCTCTTCCCAGCCTCTGCGTTTCCACCAGTACTGCTGCTCTTCTCTCCTTGAGGTCTTCCTTTATCGCTTCTCTGCATAGCTTCGCAAGCTCAGACGTCAGCTGGTAATTGCCTGCGGCTCGTGCGGCTCCACGTTGGCGAATCAGCTCGAGAGTTTCCAGAGATAGACGCTTCTTGGTAATCTTGGAACTCTGACATTCTTGGCGCAGTCGTGGAGATGTGCGACAAGCCGTTCGCTCTCCTCGTCGATGTTGTCGATAACGGAATTCTCTCAGAGCCCTGCGAGAGAAGTGAAACGATCCCATGAGGCTCTTGAGGCTTCACTTGTTGAACATTTGCGGCTCTCTCTCTCGCATCGAAAGCGGAATCTCGCGCGAAGGAGACGGTGGTCGGATCCCGTGTAGAACTTAGGAACAACAGCGACAGGCAAAACCTTCGATTGAAGATGATGTGGTCGATCTCATTATGGAATTGTCCACCAGGAGACTCCCATGTCCAGCGTAGAGAGTAGGGCTTCTGGAACTGCGAGTTACCATGGATGGTATGGGTCGACATGATAAACTCAGACAGCCTTTCACCCTGCTCATTCCACTCTTTTCCGTGAGTTCCGTGAGAACACCGACGATGACCTAGAAAAAGGTATAGTCTTCCTTGTGAACTTCTTTAATTCCATACAGGACACTTTGAGCTCATCCTCGTTGTAGGTTGATATTAGTGCGTAGGTAAAGAAGTTCATCAAAGCTCGAGTTGAACTATTAGGTTGACGGGAAAGTTCTGTCACTCTTTTTGGAACTCAAATTACTTGCCCATTACCAAGAGTGGTAACCGGTAATGTAAGCTCTTATACAACAAGGAGTGGTCTCTCTGTTAGTACCACTCGCTTGCCTCTTGCTTCTTCTTCTGCAATATGCACAAGGATTTTATCCGCTACCATCAGCACCGACCCCTCCAAACGCTTCCTCAAACTCTTTCTCCCACCACCCTGACGCCAGCGTGTTAGCTGCAGATGCCAAAATAATGGAGCTGAATAAGCACGATGCCCTCAATCATCGAGCAACCTTACCACGACAGTGACGCTTCAAGGCGGGAGCCTAGGGAGCCTACAGTTTTGATGACGAAGTGAGGTTTGGGTTACCTGCAAACTCAGCTTGAGGGAGCTGTGGGTCGGGAAACTGCTGGATGAAGAAGCTGCTTCCTCGGTCAATGCGTACGCAAAGCAGCTACGAGAGATCTAAAGCGTACCGTCGATCAGAGGGAAAAATTTGTCCGCACAGCCCGCCCTCATCATGATAGTGCAGCGCACTCCGTCCAAAAAAGTTCGAGCCGTACCTCATGCAATGGAGCTTGATCTCTCTCCCCTTGCACTGGTGTAGCACAGACATCGCCCCTTCTAATAGCAAGTTGCCTTCCGTAATCGATCGTTATGCGGACGAGAAAACCTCCATAACCCAAGTTCAAGTCGAGGTTGAGATGGTGTCCAACTTTGCGTCGTGTCTCCCTGCATAGTGAAGCGATGGCATCCATGAGGTGCTCAAAACTGGCAAGGACCCCGCAGTACATTGCTGTACAATTTGATCCCACACTCCTCTCTATAAAAAGAAACCCTAATTTGAAAAAAGTGACAGAACTTTCCCGCCAACCTAATACATCTTCTCATTCGCAAACGTCTGATTCGGGTCGTAAGGCTTCCGTACAAATCGATGTTCATGGCCAAGTGCGTGTTGACGAGGACGCCCACACCGCCAACGCCTCTGCTGTCGCATGTTCCGAGGAACAGTTCTTCTCCAGTCTCGTATACGGCGTGTAGCGGGCGATGCCTCCTCGTCTCGGTCAGTCCGATGACGTCGTA